ACTTATGTACATGTTATGTTTTCGTTCTTTATTTTTAATAGATTTGCTAAAATTTGCAAAAAACAGTTTTCACTTTGTCATTATGGGTTGTTGTGTATAGAATGTTGAGGAAAATAATGAATTTAATCCATTTTGGAATAAGGCTGTAACATAACAAAATGTGGAAAAAGTGAAGCGCTGTGAATACTTTCCGGATGCACTGTATGTCTTACTGTTTTTAAATAAGTTATACACGTTTAAATTATTGAATAATCTGTCTATTATTAATTAACAATACAATAAAAAAAAAAACGATGCTGGATTTGTCTGACACAAAGTCCAAAAATTAAAATAATATAAAATACAAAAAGAGCAAATAGTTCCATTTGAGAAGATAGTATATTTTAATGCAGGACATCAACAATTAACTATCTAAATTATTTTGGACTAACGTTACTGCTAATCACGTACTGGAGTAATAGTTTTGATAAAGTAGTCGAATTAAAGAGCATATACTCAGAGTTTGAGTTGCTATTTAAAAACCGTGCAATTTAACCAATACGCAAGGCCACATTAAGTACTTTTTTAAAAGTAACGTTAGTATTTATGACTCGAAACAACAACATTTAACTGGAAGAGACATGAGTCGCTGGAGCTCGGCTATCAATAGCACGGACAGACGCCATTCCTCGGCTTCAGGTCAACAGGCTTATCTCTGGCTTTGCCTTCTTTAAACTCAAACCACGACTTCAAGCATTAAGACCCCTAGCTTACCTTGATAGAGCTCTGTAGCCGGAAGTGATGGGCTCGTGGGTACACCGGTGCCGTAGTGCAGCAATTCCACCAGCGCGAGGTTTGTTTGATTTCAGCACAGCGGCTCCCTCGCAAGACACCACCCGGAGCACCGCCCACACAGCCCGCACCATCGCCTGACCTACACAGAAAACCAATCACAAGGTCTGACGGTGTGGGCGATGGTAAAAACTGGACAGGAGTCCAATGAGTCAGGATCGGAAGATACGCTGCGCCCTCGACAGTGAAATTAATGCCCATACAATTTAAGTGTTTCAAGGTTGTACATAGATTGAATTATATAACACATTCAACCCTTACACACATGCTTTACTGTACAGTTTAGGACTGTAACTAAGCAGTACCTTCATGACTGATCTATAAAACACAGGTTTTCAGAAAAGCTTGTTCTGTTCTTCCAACTATGTCAAAGAGAAAAGTGTCTACCACGTGTCATACAAGTAGATCTTTGCTTGATGCAGCGAATCAATTATAAAACTTGTTGTCAATTTAATGATTTATCAATTAATTGACCAAATAAATACAATCATTTAATAATTGTTGAAGTCATAGATATATTTCCAACTAAATGAGCTGTTTTACTTTTGTATTATTAGCCTACTTAATGTGCTATAAATTAATTACTCAAAGCAGCGAAACGTCCCCTGTCAGTGTGATACTACTGTATAGTACATCATTAAATTATGATCTATCACTCATTAACATGAGAGCATACAGTGGTACATTAGAATCCCGTTCCCGCTGAATACACTTCGTGTTTCCGTGTTCACACCGACAGTCAACACGCCATCAGACCGCTGCACCACCAGGCCTCTGACAGCTGAACAGAAGTAAGCATTGTCTGTTACATACACAACCTACAGAGAAAGCACTGCAACGCTAAATTACTTACAAAACAATTTTCCTTTTTCAAGGGGGTGAATCTCGTCTTTTATCGTATTTTGCGTTTGTTTACGACGATATTTCAGAGCTGTGGTCGAACCGCCTAGCTTCACTCCCTCTGCTTCTGAGGTCACGGGTTTTCATTGGCTGCCTCAGCAACAACGTGACAGCTCATTGGCTCACCGAGTACAAACATTAACCACGTGATACGGAAGTCAGTGCGTCAATAAAATACGTGATGTGTCAAAATTTGGATAACAAAAAAAAAAAAAAAAAAAAATCAGATCGGTGTCAAAGTGTAACGTGTCAAAAGTCGACTACATGTCCACAGTTACAAAGTGACAGGTTTAATGCTACATTTCATGCTATCTTCTAGCCCGTGAGGTTTAGCTGCTGCTGGTGCACAGACGTTAGCTGTTAGATGTCGCAATGAATGTGGTAGTGACAGCTAGCTCGTAGCGTGTAGTTCATCTCGTTTCTAGACTTCCGTACTGCCTAATAAGTTCAGTGAGGCAGTGACAGAGGTGAGTGTGCTTGTTATTGTGCCATGGGTCACAAGCCGAATATGAATCTTGATAGCAGAATTGTTAATTTTGCTTTGGGTATTTGGTATAACGTTGAATAAATGCAAGTTTTTCCTTTTTACATGTATAAAGCTAAGCTAGCTTAATTCTGCGATGCATAACGATAACACGAAGCCTGCACAATTCCCAAACGTGTCGTCCGTGACGCTGAAAGTCATTAATATTGTGAATATAATGTCAGAAAGCCTGTTGGAAAATGTACATTTAGTATAGAAGATGTAGGTCTGTCAGGTTTCGTGGGTTGCTAATTGCTTCTTTTTTTTACACCATAGCCTTCCAACAACGAAGTCGGTAAGAGGAAGTACCTTGAAAGGAGAATTTTATTGAAAAATGTTGCTTTTAAACAAAATGTCTTGTCAGGCTCTACAAAGTAACGTTATACATTTTGCTGCTAAGCAAATCAGCATTCAATTACTGGAATTTTTTTTGAAATTGGTTTTGGAATTATGTTGTTTTAGAGCAGCAGGTAACGGGACAATGCTGCACCAACAAGCACTATAACTCTGAATATCTATTTGTAGAAGTTTGGATCAATGCGGGGAAGGATACCCTTCCCTTTGAGCAGTTCCTGCAATGGCTGTGAACCTGAACTTCTCTTCCTTTTTACCCGCAGAAACGGTGGTGATAACAGACCGACCTATTCCACCCACCAGCCAACTAGCGAGCCTGGCCCTTTGTTTACCTGCTTCTCAGGTTAAGAGGTGAGCAGGGGGCAGGGCCACCCGCGCGGTAGGAGGGATGCCTGTGGAGGGTGGCAGCAGCAGCGGCTCGGCTTCGGCTGCCCGTCACCCCAAGCAGAAGCGCAAGGCTCACAGTTTGTCTATCCGGCGCACCAACAGCATAGAGGACAGGCCTCCAGGCTTCCAAAGAGGAGACATGCTGGAGGGACAGGTGAGGGATATGCACAGACATCCGTGCTTTTTTTTTTTTTCCTCTCGTTCTCACATGCACAGCTGACAGCTGCAGACCAGCACTTTGGCAAACATACAAGCGTATACGACATGTAATATCATGATCTGTAGACATGGCCTTCAAAATTCTTGTGGATCTGCTCAAAAATACATACCAGGAAGTAATTTTTTATCAGTTCGATTTTTTAATGTTATTTTGTTGGGGGTTGAGGATGCTTTTTTAGTCAGTCTTGAGACTACAGAACCAGCCAGTTGAGCAGCATTGCTTTTATGTAATTGTGAGATGTAGTTTCTACCCCTGGGGGAGACATTTTATGGAGCTACATGATTTTACTTTAGCATAAACTTGTGTTAATGCTGCCTATATTTTACATTCTCTAAACCTTTCTGAACTGCCTGCTGTGGATGTGCATGTGGGTTACTGATTGCTTCTTGTTGAAACAAAGGGATCTACTGTGACTTAAGCCCATCACGTTAGTGATTAACTATCTCCCAACCAACAGGGTCTTTAAATTAGAGCTACAATTGATTTATTTCCCCCAGAAAGAGAGGACTGTAAGCCTTTACATGAGCAGTCATTTCCTCATGCAATCTAGTTGTGCCAAACCGTCAAGCTACTTCACTACTGACATAATAAAATCTGCTTATTTGATCAAGAAGAGAACCTCCTGGTTGTTAACTTTTGGGAGTTGGCTGTTGAATGACCCTCTTTAGAGTCATCTCTGCGAAGTGACTGTCAAGTCTTGTATCATGTATTTCTGTCATGGAGATCAAACTGGTCAAATGAAAGACAAATTATTGTCTTTGCCTTTTTCATGATCCACATTTTGGATCAAAGTATTCAGTCTGAAATAATGCAATGCTTTATTTTCATTTATTTTCAGTATTGCCCAGCCCAAGTTTTGGCCGTAGAAGTCCTTCAGCGTTTACTTTCTCTGCTTGACAATGTCCTTGAATTATCAGCCACTAAAACTAGAGCTCAGCTAGCACTGTCCTGTCATCTCATCAAGTTTTAATATGGGCCGCTTGTCCAGGCCTGATTAGTCTTTTCACCAGGCCTTTTTGTCTATTGCCAAGACGTGCTGGCTCTGTTTATGTACCTAGTCTACCCCCCACTGCACAAGTTCCCCACACACACACACACACACACACACACACACACACACACACACACACACACACACACACACCTTTGTAAACACATATATAACACAAAGAAAGCAATTTACTCCAACTTTCAATGCTGTCATTATTTGCCAGGGTATGGTGCCGGTTTTAGGGCCACAACTAAGCAGCTTTGAATTCATAAAGACTGCTTGTTGTTTGCTAATTGACCTTTTTTTTCTTTCTTGTGTTGTCATGGGGCGCAGACAGACTGGTCAGGCGGTTAACGCCACTGTGACAAACTATTGGTTTTGAACGCGTGCCAGAAGAAAGAGACACACTCGAGTGTTTGGTTTCCTCGTCTTTCAGACAGCTAGAGAAAGCAGCAGGCTGTCAAACGCAGCCTTTTGAGTCCTTTGTTTCCATGGCAGCTTCTTACGTCTCTTTGCATGCTAGTCTGCTATAGACTGCTGGTCACCTGGTTACTGGGTACTTCTAGGAGCTCACCATGGAGGTAAGTCGGTTGAAATGAGTCTGAGTGCTCGGACCCCGGCTGTTGTGTAGTTAGTACAGAGTTGTTGTAGATATGTAGCTGAGCGTTTACGCAAACCTAATTAGTGTTTGATTAGATCAGGTAAACATGCAGGCTGTGTTTGAGATTTGAGATGTATTTGGCTTGCTTTTGATTTGTTTCAGTGGCGTGTATTTAGTGAGTCACTCAAACTTCTCTTACAATAGTGATAATATATGACATACTTGTTTGTTATTGTAAAAATGTATTTGTGCCGGTCTGCAGCATTTCTTGCTTTGGTTTAAATATATTCATTTGTGAACATATATTGAAATGGTCTAGTTCTGATTTTTAAGCACAACATCCTGTATACGTGACATTACATGTAAAAGAGAAGACCACACTGGAGTCTGGTCTGGAGGGAATTCAAGGTGTGACTCCTGCTCCCTACGCCAATGTGATCCCTGATTTGTAGGCCTTTGTCAGCTTACCATCAGGTTTATTAGAGCGTTGTCATTTCTTTGTGGTCTGTCCAGGACTCCAAGCTGCCCCCCTCCTTACGGAACAACCTTCTGGACCTTTTTGGGCAGATTGAGCGCGAGTTTGAAAATCTCTACATTGAAAACGTTGAACGTGAGTAACGGAACGAAAGAGTCGAGCACATGCATTGAGATTTGTTGGGCACATATACCGTACGGTATTGATCCTCAGCTGCTGATTGACTAACCATGTGCTAACATTACAGTACGCCGGGAAATTGACTCTCTGAACGAGCGTCTGACCGGAGATGGACAGACTATTGAGGGAGGAGACCCCACCAAGGGAGCTTTGAAAACAAAAGGTACTGTATTCCCTTCACAATGTGTTGCAGGCCTCAATAGAGGTAACAGATGCTTCTGCGTCTTTGGAAATTGAAATGGAAAAACATTGCTGAAATTGATTGTGTGGGTTTAAAGTGAAAGCAGATATCTCATTCCATGGTGGCTCAAGTTGCAATATAGAGAAACCTCCATACAGAGTTTGACACAATTTAATAAGCTTCAGACTGACTGATCCTTCTTGTATTAAAAATATAAGAAGGATAAACAGTTTTCACCGATTTTAAGCACCAACAACTAGCTTAATTTAAATTGCAGTGTATTTAAAAGCACATCGTGTTGACTGGAATACTGTTCACAAAAAAAAATACGAGTCAGTCATATTAAACCTCCTTTATTGAACATCATTTCCTGAAAATAAGCCTGGTTTGCAGATGTAAGTCTGGTTAAACAGGTGATCTTGTTTTTATGAAACAACCCTCCGGTACTGCGTGCGTGATTAACAGCTTTGACACTTTATTAGGCCGTTAGTGCTGCAGTGAAACCAAGCGGTGAGTTTGTCACTCAGTGGAGACTTTCAGTCATTGTTCTTTGTCTTTCCATCACACAGCCAGCCACAGCACCAGTCAACTGTCACAGAAGCTGAAGACGACCTACAAAGCCTCTACCAGCAAGGTACCCGGCTCCAGCTATTATTCTATAGAGCCCATAAGGTCTGTCATCTGTGTAATTCTTTGAGCTGTGGGGGTAAATGGTAACAGACAAAACCAAAAGCCCCTTTATTGCTGAGAGAGAGGAGAAGGAAGTATTTTTCTCTTCCTCTGAGGTCATGATAAGTTGCTGTTTTTGAAGTGCTGATGCGTTTATTTAAAGATTTTCCAACTGCAGTTAACTTGATTTCAAGTATTTATCACAATGTGACATCTCCCTTGACTTCTTCCTTTTTAATCTCTTGCTGATGCAGCGCTTGTACACTTTCCATGGTAAAATAGGTGGACCTCGCAACTTCAGTGTGGCCACATGGGAGTTGTGGGGAGGAGATTCATGGGTAACTTCCTGAATGCTCTTGTTTTGTCACTAGGCATTGTGGGGGACGGCTGCTGTCTGTTTTTAACTACAGTCCGACCTTGACTCCTCATCTCTTCTCTGCTTCCTGTCAGAAGGCATTTGGGTGAACGGCTGCATTTGTAAAAAAAAACAAAAAAACAAAACATGTTTTTTGCAGTTTCTCACAAGAGAACACTGTATTTTGGGAAGTGTCATGTAGGTAACTTAGTGAAAGAGAGGATACACAGGATCAAGGGAGGACTTAGACTAACAGAACTAGCTGCTCTATAATGTACAGCTAACCCATCAGCCGGCTAAGAAACATGACCGAAAACTAACTTTTTTCAGACTGACCGTACTTGAAACTAATGATCTTCACTAACTTTATCCTTGGTTAACTACTGGGTGGACCTTTTTATTATTGTTTGTTGTGTTTCAATGACAGGAAACAAATCCGATTGTATTGTACTATAATGTGAATGCACGATGAGACGATACATTAACACAGTCTCACACAAAGGGGACCAGATGCTTCGCTGCTGCATCTAATGACTACCAGTGATGTCAGCTCGTTGCTGTGGTCCGCTGTCTGCTTGCAGCTGCATGCACCGTACAGATTGTGACCGCTCTGTGACAATTGAAACTACTATTGACCTTTTATGTTGTTTTATTAAAGGCCATGTGTAACCATACCACTCGGTGCAGAGTGATGATCTATCTTCCTCACACTGACACAGAGCAGTCTTAATATTAATACTCAAATGACACAGTTTGGTGAAATTTGAAACTATAAACCTTTCGGCAGTTCCAGAAACATCCTCGAATATGAGACCAGTGCTTGCAGGCTGACTATTAATAATGATGAGCCATATAACTGCACAATTAATATGCAGCTATAATTGCCATTCATTAGTCTGTGGTAAACCATCTCTCTGTTTGTTTTAAATCTAGAGCGGACACATCATTATGCAGACAAATGTTTCTTCTATCTCTGACATAATTACCATGGAAAGCAAAGATGATTCCACCGATTTATAACAGACGTCTCTCTTGCTTTTTTATTACTTCTCACTTAATTGTAAACTTGCGTCATTATGACAGTTTTTGATCTGATCCTCTGAAGTCCACCTGCTCTGAATTGGTTTAACATTGGTTCAGCACCAGGAGGAATGCTCATCCATCTCGTATTTGTCCATCATGGCCGCGTCTCCTCCCTCCCTGTTCAGATTGTGTCCAGTTTTAAAGCCACCGCAGGCTCTCGAGCGTTGTGTCAGTTGCTCAAGGAGTACGTGGGCCACCGGGACGGGATCTGGGATCTCAGCATCACCCGAACTCAGCCAGTGGTCCTGGGCACCGCCTCCGCAGGTATACCAAGTCACTTTACCGACTATTTGAATACGTCAATCATTGCATCGTTGTTCTATACACAGCCTACATGCCATAGAGTGGTTTCCAACAAGAAAAAAAAGTCATAATCATTATTGTTTGTTGCATTTACTGGGAATCCTTGGTGCAGTTAGCAAAATGTTAACTTGTATCAGACACAATTTCACCATAAAGTGGCCTTGAACTGAATCTAATTAAGGAGCCCGCCATGTAAATGCTTTACATTACTATGTTAAATCATTACCCGACTACTACTACTACCCGACTACTAAAGAGCCGATGGTTTCATGTCGTCCTTCACAGATCACTCGGCTTTACTTTGGAGTATAGAGACGGGGAAATGTCTGCTGAGGTATGCCGGCCATGCAGGATCAGGTAATAATTAGTAAAAATGTCCTCAACCATGCAGACATTTTACAGTGCATGATGGGATTATCTAAAACGTATGCTGCATGTAACTGTTAAATACAACAGTGTGTCAACATTTGTGCACTTGGCTTTTTCTCAAATTGTAATAAGTGATGTAACAGATGCTCACCATTGTTCTCTTGCCCGCAGTCAACTCCATTAAGTTCCACCCCACAGAGCAGATGGCCCTCACAGGTATGTATTTCAATACATGTGATTTTTTTTGTTTTTGTTGAATTAGCTAGATTTCTCGTCTCAACACCTTAACTCTTTTCGTGACTATTTGACCGTCTTCTCCCTGCCGCTGTAGTCTCCGGCCGTTACGTTCCTGGAGATCTGAATGTGTATTTTGCTGATGTGTACTGATGTTTCCACAGCCTCTGGGGACCAGACGGCTCACATCTGGCGCTACATGGTGCAGCTTCCTGCCCCCCAGCCACCACCAGATGTCAGTGTGAGTAGCTTTGTGTTGCTCTCTTCTCTGAGCTTCTACTGAAACCTCCTGGAATTTCATGGAGTTTTGAGAGTTGTATATTCTGAATGAATATTAAATGAATTCACAAATTGGTCACTGAATGTCCCATGAACACCAAAACTAACTCCTAGCTGTCACAGTTTTATTGACTGAACTACTGTGTTTTTCACCCATAGGCTCCATGTGACGACGACCAGGACTCGTCAGACAGGGAAGAAGGTGAGGTGGATGGCGAGGGCCCTTGCGAGGTCCCCACCGTCCGGCTTGCTACGGCAACCCTGAAGAGCCACCAGGGTGTAGTGATTGCAGCTGATTGGCTGGTGGGAGGCCGACAGGTGGTGACCGCTTCCTGGGATCGTGCTGCCAACCTGTACGAGGTGGAGACATCTGAACTGGTTCATGCACTCACTGGTATGTAAACTGACAAATTATATCGCAGTTTATATATATTTAGCACAATATGGTGTCTTTTATCTTCATCTTGTGGCACATATCCTCGGGTATCTTATGGTACAGATACATTTGGAGTTTATTTTTAGGTTTTTCATATTTTAAATATTTGAGTATTTATGTATTGTTCATTGCACAGCAGACATATATTTTGTAACTTGTGTGTTTTTATTATATTTGTCTTGAAGAGGTAACGAGTAGCTGAGCTTAAATGGCAGACAAAATGGGCTTTCTGTTCATTTTATGGAGCGGTTGTTTTCTTGGTTCCCAGACTAAACAGGAAGAAGCCACTGCTTCCTCTTACTTCATGTGACTACACAATTGAATCACGTCCAAGCAGGACTTGGTTAGAGAATTTTAATGAGCAGATTGTGTCTCTTCTGCTACTCTAAACATCATTATTTTCAACACTTTAAAAGGAAATGCGTCATGAAGTGGACCTCAGACTCTAGTGCTCTTCTTGCTGTCTTACTGTAGCAACCGTGTGTCTCATTTAAAGATGTACGAACCCACAGAGTTGAGTTTGCTTACTCGTATGTGTCTGCAGGACACGACCAGGAGCTGACCCACTGCTGTACCCATCCCACCCAGCGGCTGGTGGTCACTTCATCCAGAGACACCACCTTCAGACTGTGGGACTTCAGAGACCCGTCCATACACTCTGTCAACGTCTTTCAGGGCCACACTGAGTGAGTCTGTCTCTCTTATGAACGCGCTCTTTAATCGAAACTGAAAAGTTTCAACCGTTTGAGTTGCTGCGGTCTTTCTGTTGCCCACAGGGTGGTGCTGTAACATCTCTCTGGTCTGTGGATCCCTCCAGAACTTTCAGCTTTTTCTCCTTTTTTCCTTTTCAGTGCCACATTAATTTACAAAACCCGATTGCTCTAAGCCAAATCCTCCACTTGCCTCTCATTCATTACCGAGCACTTCTCCCCACTTCGGTGGTTTTTCTTCTCTTTCTCTTCCTACCTCTCTCTCTCTCTCTCCCTCGCTCTCCTATTCATTTATCTGTCAGTTTCTGCATTAATCCACCACTCTGTATAACTTGGCACTTCACTCGCTGTTAACACTCAATTGCAGACGCTCATTTCAAAATGATGACTGTCAGGCTTGCCTGTGGCTTTCAACGGCAGCGCTCTTGTGTTTGTGTTTGTGTTTGTGTGTGTGTGTGTGTGTGTGTGTGTGTGTGTGTGTGTGTGTGTGTGTGTGTGTGTGTGTGTTTTTATGTGCATGTCTACATGTGTGTGCTGGCTGGCTGGCACTCTCTGGCAGCCTTTTGATTGCAAGTGGGGGGATTACAAAGAGCTCATTATGTACGACCCCAACATGTATAATTCCTGCAGATCCCGCTCTAATTCTCTCCGATAGACAATTGGTATAATGAGATTAAGCACCAGTGTTTCACAGTTAACAGCAGCCCTCCTCCTCTCCGTTCCCTGCCTCCATTCTTCTTCTCTTTGTGAATGGCCATCGATGGTCTTTCAAGTAAGAACTTTCTCACTCTCCATTCGGTGATGCATTTAAAGCAGCAAACTTTCACAGACTGCTGTCTAGCCTAGAAACCGATAACTGTTTTTAGAAAGACGTAACAACAAGCTGCAGTATTCTGAAGAAAGAGTCGTGCTGTCAACGGACACTAATGAGTAACTAACCTGAACTGGATTTATTGTTCTACATCTAGGGCTGCAACTAAGGATTATTTACAATTTATCTGTTGCTCTACAGAATATCAAAATAAGTGCCTTCGTATAATCCAGCCATAGATGACGTCCTCTAATGTCTTTTGTTCAACCCACAGTCCAATAAGTCTAAGATATTCAATTTACTAAAGCAGCAAATTCCCTCATTTGACACCTTGGGAACATTAAATGTGCGACATCGTTAGCTTAAAAATAAAATAAACTACAGAGATTAATCAGTTGTTAAACAAATGACGACATCGATGACTCATTGCAGCTGTAGTGTCATCATTTTGATCTTTTTCCAAATGCAGTGATGCTGCCATAACCATAATGTAAAACAGCTCCTCATATAATGTATATATTAACATATATATTAGCAGTTATGCTGTTGGACACTGGACATGGGTATGCATTCTTGTGCATGAAGGGTGTGTGATTGGGCTGCAACTAGTGACTAATTATCAAATATTATCAATTAATGTACCACGGTGGCACCTTCAAATGTCTTGTTTTGTCCAACCAAAAGCTAAAAAAACAGTTTTTAGTTAAACCAGCAAAAATCCATATTTTTACTAACCAGATCCTAGAAACCATAGCATGTTGCTGTCTCCCTGCCATCGCTCTCGCTAATTTTCCATAATCTCCAACATGGCATAAGCGGCACAATCTCCACATTGTTCTCAGAGAAGGAGCAGAGGAGCGGCCGTTGTGAGCGCTTCAATAGGCAGCAGAGGTTGAGCGCTGGAGGGGAGATGGCCTCTTGTTTCCACAGTCTTCCCTGGCACTTCCAGCTAACGCTTCCTGTCAGTGAACCGCGGCAGCTAAAAGTGCAGCACACACCCTCTGTCCCTCCACCCCGCCGTAATTGCAGAGTAATGACAACTGCCCGTGAGCTAACAAAACAGCCGCGAGCAAACGAGAAGTGACAGCGGTCTTGCTCTGCAAACGGAATGCCATGTCACGTTTGTCTCTCCTGACATCGACGGCTTTAGGGGGCACTTGATTGCAGTTGATAGAAACCCACATTTGTGTGTGTGTGTGTGTGGTGTCTGTATGCAGATCTGACATTCCGTCTCTGGAGGAATATACCAGCACTTAACAGGTTCTCAGCGAAATAACAGGGGTGCTCTAAAACCTCTTAGTCGTCTGTACCTGAATTGTTTCGTTTACATTTTACCTTTTTAGTCATTTGGCTTACACGCTCATCTTCTCACAAATACGTATATTGTAATATTCCTTTAGATTTTCATGAATTCAAACATCAGTCATTAAAAGCACTCACACTGGGAAGGAGGATAAGGATCAAAGCCTCTCAGATTTACGTCTGATAGGTGAAGAAATAACAAGCAGGCAGGGAGTGTGGCATAGAGACATGCCAAAGAACTGTCCTACAGAGCTAATGCCTGCAATCTCTTTGTTTTCTTCATCGTTGATTGTTTACCCGTGTTTATGAGATGCGCTATTTGTCCCTTGTTGGATATTCGTCAAAGTCAGTAATTTCTCTCAATTTATAAGTACACTTTCTGAAACCCGTAGAATTTAGAGCACTGCAATTATCACATCACACTGTGCAGAATAGCACTGTATTTGTCCTACAAAAGGCCTTTCTGAGAGAGAAATGATGTTTCGACAGTTCATTGTTTATTGTCTCATACATACATTAACCCACAATGTAAAGTCCCTTAGAGACAACTGAATAGTATTAAAATAGTATTTATCAAGTTTGACATTTAAAGGTTCCTCACTGCCAGGGTGCACATTTCCACAATAAGTAGCTTAAAGTTACAATAATGTACTGACAGCAGTTTCCTCAGCAGACTCTAAAGACTAAGATTGGCACCTTTGCAATGACAGCCCTTGTGCTTTCAAAAAGTAAGGGTGTCATAGACATTTAAAGGGCTTAATGAGGAGAATAAAAACAAAAAAAATGTATTTGGACAAATGTCTCAAATTGTCCAAATATAAATCTCCTGTCTGAACACAGCATTTCATTGACCTCGCACCTGATATTTGCCAATTGAAGATAGTTGCATTCATTAACTCACTTGTGTTAATGTGTGCATAGAAGCAGTGTGAAATGCATACAAATGCGTGTTGTGAGGCAGATAATACAAATCTGACCTCATGTGCGCCACCTTGATGGGGCTCAGGGAGCTCTGCTCTTCATGGTTAGGGATTCATTCAACTGTAGAGAGATCCCCTCTCTCTCTCTCTCTCTCTCTCTCTCTCTCTCTCTCTCTC